AGGCACTGTACACGTGGTGGGCAGCCTTTCTCAAACCCATGTTGTACATGATCTCATCTCATCCCCACAGCTCTATTGCCAGGGGGTAGTGTTGCCCTCATTTCAAAGGTGAGCACACTGACACCCTAAGAATATATTTACATACAACCAGTATACATCCTGGAGTACAGTTCAAACTCAGATCTACAGCCAAAAGCCATCCTTGTTCTGCTAGACCAGAGGTTACTAATTGAAGGCCTGTGTCAGTATGTGAACCCTAGACATGTACATAAAAACCCAATTTTCTTGTTTCTCCTAAAAAAATTCAGAAGATCTGACAACAATCAGATGGAACAAACTAATGGCTACTCAGTGGATAAAGAATACATTTCTGAGTTCGTTTCACCTCCTTTCTTTAAGTTTCCTACTCCTGGAAATATCTGGGTTTGCAACCTTTGTACCAGTTTATGTGCCATCCTTTATTTTACAAGAGAATTTCTCCAGATTATAAGCAAACAAAATACTAGCCCAGGTTAGCCCTCATCTTTCATGAAAGAGGAAAACAGCTGGGCTGCACCATCTGCCTGTGTGTCAGCACAGGTGAGAGGACACTGTCTGGAGCCAGTTGGGACTGTGTAGCCACTCCCTCACCCCGAGGCCTTGTTTCTCCTATTGCTGGCTGGTTTCTCAGCCCAGCAGGCCCTGCCGGGCCAGGATAGAAGGGCATTCACAATGGCACTGGATAAGGGAGGAACAAAAGTGCCGCATGAAAATACCAGCTAGAAAGGCAGTCACTGGAGGTCCGGACAGTTCACAAGTGGGAGCAATAAAAAGGAAGCTGATGAAATCTTGGGGTGGCTGGTGGAATATACATTGAGAAGAGCTCTTCTTTCAATTATCAGAATTGAATTCAACGAAAATGGGCAAACTAGATTGTGTGCATCTATTGTTGTGCAAAGCCTGGGTTGCCGGCAGTATAATTTCTCAGAGATTCCCTGAGAGATTGCACATAAAGGTCCTGTTGTTGAACTAAAGATGTTGGGAATGGGCTGCTGTCAGGTTGGCTTCACCACGAAGGGGCCCACCGTGCCTCTCCCCATGGAGACATCGCAGGTTTCAATGTGCTTTTCATTCTCTTGGCTGCCTGAGCAAACAGCCATCACTGTTTCCATTGTGAGCTCTTCTCCTTCTGGAGCCAAGCCCAAGTTCAGGGAACATGTGCTCGAAACTAACATTTGGCAGCTTGGCTCCCCACTTGGAGTGACTCTCTGCCTTTGCCGTTTTCCCATCAAGACACTTTCCTGCATTTGGAGGCTGAAAAGCAATGCTGGCTTAGTTCTAAAAGCTGGTTCCTAATCCTGCTGGCTCATTGGGATGAGAGACAAAAAATCCACACCCAAATACAGAACCCAGGTTACTAAACCAAGATAAGAATTATTTCCACCCTTTCCTTGTTACAGACACTACTGAGGTCATGTGTGTCTCAAAGCATCAATGGCTCAGTTTCCTGAAGAAAATGTCTTTTGTATTTTCTACCCCATTGAGAATTTTTATGAGAAAGTCTACTTCACAGTTGAAAAAAACTGAGCATCCTAAGAGCCGGGACCTCATTTTGTAGAACAGGTGATAGGTTAGAAGTCAGAGATTAAATACTTTCCTTACATAGACGCAGGTAGTGGCAGAGTTGGTACTAGAAAATAATTCCTTGAATATCCAGACCTTTAAGGACTTGTTTTTTCTCTACATTTTTAAATTAAGGTAGAATTATATACAATAAGCACAGATCTTATAAGTGTAGAGCTAAATACATTTTGACAAATGTTTATACTCATGTACTCAGCACTCCAATCAAAACAGAATGTTTCCATCATCCTAGAAAGTTCCGCTGGGCCTTCTTCCACTCAACCCCAATCTCCCACCCTCCCCCACCAGGCAACAACCACTGCTCTGATTTCTGTCCCCTTGGATTAGTTTTGGGGCACTACTTTTTTTAAGAAATGAAAACTGAATGCATGCAACTTTGCCTCTAGCCGTGAAGTGTCTCCTTGCAGAATTCTCCTCCCCTCCTTGGGGCACACGTTCTATTTAAGCTTTGTTTAGATACATCTGGAAAGCCTTCCAGGAAGTCAGTCTTAGTCCCAGTTACAGATACATTTAGGTTTAGAGGAATTCACATTTATAGGTTATGAAGGCCAATTATGACCCCCCAACATGCAGTACAAAAAGAACTCTTCGTTCTGGAAAATAAAGTTCCTTTTTCCAAAACATCTGCCTTCTTGCCCAGCTGGGCGTAGCTCAGCGGTTGAGCATCGACCTAGGATCCAGGCGATCGGGGTTCGATTCCCGGTTGGAGCACATGCCCGGGTTGCGGGCTGCAGCCGATCAATGACTCTCTCATCATTGGTGTTTCTGTCTCTCTCTCTCCCTCTCCTTTCCTCTCTCTGAAATCAATAAAGATATATTTAAAAAAAAACAACAAAAAACAAAAAAACAAAAAACAAAACATCTGCCTTCTTGCCTCTTTCTATATATAACCACTCCTTCAGGATAGGGGCCTTTGTTTCTGTGGAAAGAATTGCTTGAGCCCTTGAAAGTGAGCACATATGCTCACTATCTGGAAGCCATTTCCTGGCATCAATAACGTTCCTGCTGCAGTGAGACTATTCCTAACAGCTCATCTGACTTCCCCAGACATCATCACAGGACAGTGGTAGCTGAAAATATAATAGCCAGCAAGGGAACTTAGAAACTGGAAACTGGGTTTTAGAAACTGGAAAACTTTGAGTAAGGCTGGCTCAGAACATTGTCTTAAATCCAAAAAAATGTTGCCAAGGTCCAGGTGGAGGCCGCTTTCCACCAGCCAGACACGACCAAAGCAGACGGGCCCTGCTTCTCTTCTAACCAGAGTGCTGGCGGCCAGGCTGGGTCATTTTCTCCACAGCAGATTCATCTCCCCAGACAGTGAGCTAATGCTTGGCACTGGTGAACTCCATAAAAAAAAAGGAAAAAAAGGCATTTAACCACACGCTTTGCGGCAGAAATGACGACATGGAATGTATACACAAAATTAAATCAAGCCAAGTTATAAAATTTCTAAAGAAAAGGAAAAAAAATGATGCACCCACAGTCATAACATTAGAACCCCCTTGTGAACAGGAACAAAGCAGCAGCAATGCTGGAAGTGTATACTCCCCTGAAAGAGCCAAATCCCAAGAAGACATTTTGTTAGTAAAGAGAGAATTCTGTGGAATTATAAGCAGAGCTGCTGAAAGCACGTGGTGAGTCCCTCTTTCCTATACAATGTTACTTCTGAATATTTTCTGGTGTTTCTACAGTTTAAATAGAGAAAACTGTTTCCTTTTTTTTCTTAATTTCTAAAAGCGTATTTTAAAAATAGGTACTATATAACATGGTTCAAACATTTAAAAAATATAACAAAATCTAAAGGGTCTTCAGGGACAAGTGTCCCTCCATTCCTGGGTGCCGTCCCTCCCCTCCCCTCCCTTCTCCTTCCCTCCATAGGTCCCTGTTAGTGGTTTCTTGAGTATCTGTCTCATCAGAAATAGTTTAGCATATACAAGCAAAACAGTTATATACCTTTCACCATTCTTTTCACACAAATTAAATGTTATAATGCTGTCCTGAATTTTGCTTTTCTTTTTTTGCACTCGTATTTAGAAACAGAACTTTGAAGATATATTTAAGTAAAGCAAAATTATATGTTCATTTACCTTTTGACTTGGCAAGTCCCACTTCTAAATCTATTGGCAAAAATACAATTTGATGTCTAATAACCACTTTTAGCTCTTGAGAAAACAGGGAGAGCCCAAGGTACAACTGCCTTTCATCTCTAGCTTTCAGGATCTTCCCAGTCTCTGTTCTGAAGTCTCAATTTAAGGAGTATTTTTATATTTAGATTTTTTTTTTTTTGGTGCAAATTTAACAAACTTACCATAAAACTTAGGAATAAAAAGACATTATCCCCTTATATTCTCCTATAAATCTTTATCCTCTGAAACAGAATCTTGTAAGAGAGATGCATAGTCATCCGTGGATAAAAGTTCCTGCCAGTCAAGGTACCCTAACTGCTGTTGTAACGGGGGACTTGGGGTTAGGCAAATGATCTCTCTGATGAAAGCAGCATATGGGAGAGCCTGGCTTTCCGAAAGTGGTGTTTTTACCTTTCTTTCCTGCTATGTAAAAGGATATCTTATGGAAAAAAAATCAAGGATAACTTGTTATGACAAACATGTATTACTTCTATAGTTTACCATGCTCACACACAAACTTGTACGTGGATGTTCGCAGCAGCATTATGCACAAGAGCCAAAAAGGGAAACAAATGTCCATCAACTAATGACTGGATAAACAAAATGTAGTCTATCCACACAACTGAATGTTATTTTTATTCCATAAAAAGAAATAAAGTAATGATTCATGGTACTAATTCATGTTACAACATCATGGATATTAAAACATTATGTTAAGTGAAAGAAGCCAGTCACAAAAGATCATGTATTATATGATTCCACTGCATAAAACGTTCAGAATAGGCAAATCCAGAGACAGAAAGTAGATTACTGCTTGCCCTGGTGCTAAGGGGCTTGAGAGGACACAGGAAGTTACTACTAATAAGTACTGTATTGGGTTGAATAGTGTCCCCCACAAATTTTGAACAAAAAGTGTTCTAAAGTTGATTGTGGTGATATTTACATAACTTTGTAGATAAAACCCACTGAACTGTATACTTTAAATGGGTGAATTTTATGGTATGTGAATTACAACTCATAAAACTCTTATTAAAAAATATTTAGCCCTAGCCAGTTTGGCTCAGTGATTAGAGCACTGACCCTCAGAAAGGTCCCAGGTTCGATTCTGGCCAAGGGCACACACCTTGGTTGCTGGCTCAATCTCAACCCTGGTCGGCTCGAAAACAGGAGGCAGGAGGCAACCAATCGATGTTTCTCTCTCTTCCCCACTCTTTCTCTCCCCCTTCCACTCTTTCTGAAAAGCAATGGAAAAAATATCCTCAGGTGAGGATTAAGAAGAAAAAAAAGTATTTAAAGCAATAAAGAAATGCTCAAGAACTGACAAGGCCCTTGAGTAGTCCCAAGATGGAGAGTTTCTATTTTGAGACAATAATTTAAGGTGGGAAGAGGTGGAGAATTAAATATTAGATGTTAGTTAAAACAGGCTTGGTTGCTAGGCCTGTTGCTGATTTCCTAAAGGGACTTTTAGCCTTTTAGGCAGAACTCTTTCCACTGAAAGTCATAGAAAACCATCTCAAACAGGCTTACTGAAAACAATAGAAATTCATCTCACATAACTGAAGTCCAGGGTGGGCTCTAGCTTCAAGGAATCCACACAAGGTCACAAGAGCTCTGATTCTCTTGGCTGTTTCACTTTTATTGCCTTCATTCTCAAGCTGTCTGTCTCTATGTGGTGGGCCAAGTTCCAAGACTATGAGGCCCTTACAGCTCCTGATACAAGAGGGACAGAATCTTTCCTGATAGCTCTGGCAGTAGTTCCAGGACTGTCCAGGGCTCACTCACATTACTGGAGCCAGGAATAAGGTTTGCTTCAACCAAGTCTCATGGTTGCATAGTTTTCCATTGAGCAGGAAAGGGTGGCTCTCCAAAGGAAGAAAGGCTGGTATACAAAATATATGTCCACTATACCAGGCAAAGCTCTAGAACTTGCAGAAATTCAAACATCATCTCAGCCCAACATATTTACTGAATTAATGCAGAAACACACAAAACAGAGCATCACTTTTAAAGTATCACAGTATTTCAAATTCTTATTCTGTATTTTAGAGAAGCAATAAAACACAGTTAGGACAGATACCAAAGTCATTAGCGAGATGCCATTTTAGCAGAGAGCTGCTTCAAGCAAGTATAGATTGTTCCATGTTCCAAAATTCCATCCCCCCGCACAGAAGAGATGTGTTGCTCTGGTAGATGGCAGACTTTTTTCCCCTATTCAGCCACAAGAAAAGCTAAGGCTTGTCCAGCACAAAAGAAGAAGGTGGTCCAGCATCAAAGGTTGGAAAATACCTTGCTACCAGTAAGCTCTTTGCAGACTTTCTCTTCTCATTTAAACTGGTGATAATCCGGGGGGTTTCGGATCCAGGATCCAAATGCCTGCTTCCGGAGGGTGCTCCAGGCTTCCTGGTAAGCAGATGCAGCCTCCTTGTACTCCTGGTACGTCTCTAGCTTCCGCACCCTAATGCACACACACCACCAAGCACATAGGTTCTCACTGAACAGCTCACCACCATGGCCAACAAGACACCTGAGCAATCAACTGGACACATTTATTACAAGAGACTTAGGAATAGGATAATCTTGGTATGCCTGTCTAAAGAGACTCTGTCTTCTTTGTAGAGAATTCACTACAAAGTAATATGGATTAAAACAAGCAAGAGTGAGCCCTTGCCATTGTGGCTCAGTTGGTTGGAGCATCATCCTGTATACCAAAAGGTGGCGAGTTCTTTTCCTGATCAGGTAGATACCCAGGTTGTGGGTTTGATCCCTGGTCAGGGTTCGTATGGGAGGCAACCGATCAATGTTTCTCTCTCTCTCTCTCTCAAAATCAATTAAAAAAACCCCACACAGACAAGAATGAACAGAATGCTAGTTTTGTCTGATACTGGTAAAATCAGATAAAACAAGTTGGTTTAAAGTTTCCTAAGTGTCCATAATTTCCACCAGAGGACACAGCCATTAGAAACTTCTTGGCTACATTTTCCCTATGAAAGCAAAGCACTTTCCATTCCATCCATACTCTCCTGTACCAGCCAACACCCCTCCAAACCCCTCACTCATCTCTGACTGCTAAAAAAATGGCTGATATGTTGAATAATATTTGCAATACTTATACACAGTTAAAAGATTTTCTTGTGACAAAGACTCTTCTCTCCTTTGACCAAACATGAGTCATGCTCCTCCAAGCCCTCTTCTCAACTTGGACCTTGAGCTCTGTCCTTGCACCTTATACATAGTTGAAGAAACTGACACTCATGTCGTATTGATCCAATTTTATCCTGCTTCTACGTTGTATCTTAGATCCTTCAGCAGAGCAAGGTTGATAATTGCAGCAAAAATTGATTTCAGTTGTTGGATCAATTTCCTACAGCTTTTTGTTGGGATCTACACACATGACAATGTTAAACTTTACCTGAGCCCTGAGTTTCTAAAAAATAGCTATGGTTAAGATATGTCCCTCCCGCGCCCAGCTGGGCGTGGCTCAGCGGTTGAACGTCAACCTGGGATCCAGGCGATCTGGGTTTGATTCCCAGTCAGGGCACATGCCCGGGTTGTGGGCTCGATCAATGACTCTCTCATCATTGATGTTTCTGTCTCTCTCTCCCCCTCTCCTTTCCTCTCTCTGAAATCAATAAAGATATATT